GGTCGACCCTGTAGAAATAAATATTCAAATAATTACATCGTTGTAAAGACAATTAGAAGACCTTTCCAATGAGGTGTTTTGAGACACATGGTTGTATTTAAAAAAATTGCCGATTACGTCACCACGGTAATACTGGTGACGTAATGTTCGTTACATCTACATCATGTGATGACGATTCAAAAATTAAAATTGACCTGTTTTTGGATTTTTTTCAAAAGTCGATTATTTTAGAAATAATGAATTTATTCCATACATTAGCGACATACTGTATTAGGATGTCTGACTGTTTTCTCTGATTATCTAAAAAGTTAGAATAATATACAAAGACTGTTATAACAAAAAAGAGATATATCTTTACTTAAACACACAATTAGTCAGTTCAATTGTACGATAATTTAAAGCAGAAATCCAGAAAACTTTAAAAATGTGTTTAAATGTGTTTTTACTATAACAAGGACATAATTATTAAAAAAACTTGGCACATTAACATTGACGATAGGTTTTTATAATATATAATGTACAAATCACAACGAACTACACAAAATTACATTATTAATAATTTAGCAATAAAAAAGTTAAGTACAATGATGACATTAAAAGTTGAGTTTCTCGAAATACTTTTATTAAATTGTCTCAGTACCTACCTAGTATTTTTTATATTTTAGGAATAAAATGATATATTTTTTTGCAGGTTTCTGTTAATAACGATTCCAAGAACTTTTGAAAATAATATTGAAACGGCCTTTGCAAATATAATTCTCAATTAAGAGCTTTTGATCTAACATTAAATTTTTATTCTCCATAAGGTTACAGCTTCCTAAGAAGAAAGTTTAACAAGACTTACCAGACCCAAAATATCAAAATTTTACCAACCAATTGATGGTACTACCGGTTTCCATAGGAAAATTCTCCTCGAAACTACTAAAAGAAAAGTGGTAGAGGGAACCGAAGAAGGCAAAAAAGTCTTTTGCAAAACAAAAACTAGAAATTTGTTTAGGAATCTAATTATTGTTTGATGTTTTACCATTAATAATTTTTGATAACGATTTAAGATTATGCAGTTTTATTATATATTTTACTTTTTGATAACCTATGTTTAAATTTTTATTAGGACCAAAATAAATTATAATTTTCATTTCAACTACAAAAACCTTCATAATATTAAAAATCTGATGTGTCCAACACATGACTTTCCTATCTAGTTTTTATAGGCTTTTTCTGGTTATTTTGTACAACCTATTACAGAATCTCTATAAATGTTTAGAGGATAAACTAAATATATACATTGTCCACATACATCTACCTCGAAACATTTTTCTATAGATATTCATTGAAAACGAAAATACTGAAAAATTTAAATTTAGCACTTTTCCATTACGGTCCATTTTAGAAAAATCATGTATAAACAAAAATTATAGAGATCGATATCGCAAACAACTTTTAGTTCAACAATTTTCATAAAAATCAGAATTTTGCACATTTTGTCAAATTTCTCGGATACGGACCATTTCAGGAAATTTTAACATTAAACAAAAATTATAGATAATAATATTAGAAGTAACTTTTACTTGAACAATTTTCTTCTCCAAACATAAATAACAGATATATTCCATAAAATATAAAAACAGCCTCCCATAAAGTACCCCCCTAGATGTTCCGACTTTGTCCAAAATCTAATCATTTTACTTCAGGCCGAAATAGACCTTAAGTTTAAAATTTAATGTTTTTTTCTTTATCCGTTTTTGAGTTTTCTTCAAAATTCTAAATTTACACATTTTCTCAAATATCTCGAATACGGTCCATTTTAGAGAAATTATGTATAAAATAAAAATTTAGAGAATTATATTACAAACAACATTTATTTAAACAATTTTTATAAAAAAATATTTTTTTTACATTTTGTCAAATTTCTCGAATACGGACCATTTTAGGAAAATTTTGTATAGAACAAAAATTATAGATAATTATATTAGAAGTAACTTTTATTTGAAGAATTTTCTTCTCCAAACGTAAATAACAGATATATTTCATAAAATATAAAAATGACCACCTATAAAGTACCCCCCCAGATGTTCCGACTCTGCCCAAAATCTAATCAGTTCATTAGACGCTGGAATAAAGCTTAAGTCTAAAATTTGGTGTTTTTCTGTGTATCGGTTCATGAGTTATGCGACCTACAGACACACACACACACACACACACACACACACACACACACACACACACACACACACACACACACACACACACACACACACACACACACACACACACACACACACACACACACACACACACACACACACACACACACACACACACACACACACACACACACACACACACACACACACACACACACACACACACACACACACACACACACACACACACACACACACACACACACACACACACACACACACACACACACACACACACACACACACACACACACACACACACACACACACACACACACACACACACACACACACACACACACACACACACACACACACACACACACACACACACACACACACACACACACACACACACACACACACACACACACACACACACACACACACACACACACACACACACACACACACACACACACACACACACACACACACACACACACACACACACACACACACACACACACACACACACACACACACACACACACACACACACACACACACACACACACACACACACACACACACACACACACACACACACACACACACACACACACACACACACACACACACACACACACACACACACACACACACACACACACACACACACACACACACACACACACACACACACACACACACACACACACACACACACACACACACACACACACACACACACACACACACACACACACACACACACACACACACACACACACACACACACACACACACACACACACACACACACACACACACACACACACACACACACACACACACACACACACACACACACACAGACATCATCGCGAAAATAGTCAAAACGGATTCAGGGGACCTCAAAACGTAAAAATCCGTCGAAAACTCGAGGTCGAAAACTCGAGGTCGAAAAAAATCATGATTCCTATACTTTCCTTATATCTGTATACAGATAGGAAAGTAAAAAGGGAAAAAATGTTAGATTAGTTATGTTCAGGAATGAACTCTAAACATTTATCTACTTAAAATGTGTTACTTTTAGAAGGTATGTTATTAACTTTCTATTTGTACTTGTATTAATTTATTTCATTTTATTATCTGTTGTATTTTCAAATTGATTTTGATATTAATCTTATCTATTATTATTATTTATTAGCTTATTAAATATAATGAATTCATGTTGTTTTATTATATGCTTGTATGAATGATTACTTTTATTTTCTCTTAAAAATGAATTTCGAAGATAAAGCCGAAACGGTGACTGAGAATAAAAAATTAGACGAAAATGACGATATTTACTGGAGCTTCTATCTAAACGCTCCTTTTTCTAGCCATCTACACCTGATCCAGCAAGATTCGACTTCCCTCCATCCTTACATTCTTCAGATTTACAGAGAAAACGCCGTCCTCTTTAACATATCCAGACCTTCTTTGACGGGGACTATACCACTACATTATCAGCTTTATTTGTTATCCCGAACAATTTAAATGCATTCGTAATTTCTCATTCTCACCTCTTTTCTTGTAGATTCGGTACTCAGTTTTCTTATTTTAGTTACGTTTGCACTGCTTTTTTATTTTCACAGCTTTAATTCTATAATGCTGTAACGTTACAATATGGATCCATTTTTGTGGTTTATACTATTTAATGTTATTCGTAAGTGACCAACCTATTATAATAATTAAAGATTATTGTATTACAGGCTTGAAGATGTTCCTGTAAGACCAAAACTAGTTGCTTCTGTATTTATTTATAATAAAATTGATTTTAAGGTTCTATTCTTCAATTGAAAAAATTAGACCTTTACAGTGATTTTGTTTGTTTCATTGCTTGCATCAGACACATATAAGACGGTACATATTTTGAAAATAGTAAATTTAGCGAATGTTTTAGTTTTTTTGCAATTAAAAAGTTTGGGCAATGTGTGTTCTTACAGAGAAATGATACGCCACTGAACAAGAAGGATGTTTATCTTCCCCCTTGTGCCCGCTTCCTCACTTCTTCTACAGATGTTGCTAACACAACAATTGCCTACAAACTCGTATCACGCTCCCTCTAATAGTAATTCCTCGGAGATATAAACTATATGCACATACATTGATTTTCTTTTACTATACGGAGAATGGTCGCACTGCGCAGCTTTCTGAGTGCCTTTTAAAAGGAGATAGAAAACTCCGCCATTTTGATCCCTTATTACGTGTTGCCTACACCTTGGCGCAATATTTTTAATAGGTGCGTTTTAATCATCCGATTCTGCTTCGGAATTGTCGGTTTTCTTGTTTTAATCTGACAGGTTAAAACGACTAAACCGACAATTCCGGAAGCAGAAGCCGATGATTAAAACGCACCTGATATTTTGCTTGCTGCTGTCAGTGTCAGTGAATATTATTTTTGAAGTCACAGTTTATTGCTAAAGAATCAGGTAGCTCACTCGGACCAGTTGAAAGTTCCAAAATAACATCCACTCCAGGGATACAAATTCAGGATACGCAGAAGACTGCTGTTTTATTATAGGCGGTTGTCATATATTGTATTATCCAAGTTGCACAGTATATAAACTGAAACATTGAGATCCAAAGTGCCGACGCAGAGTGAGCGATCTGATTCTTTAGCTGTAAACTGTGTCACAGGGTTCAAAATAGCCGCGCCCTATGTTGGGCGTGTCGGACCTCTCTCTTGCCTCATATAGTAATCAAAGTATGTGGTTTACGTTCATAGCAACACTTCAACTCTCTTATATTCCTTTTAGGAGGTATTTTTTTAAATTGACACCCTGTATATCAGCCAAATTTAATTTACATATTCATTGGAGTAGTTTTGACACTGGGTTAATTTCCAAATTTAATTAATATGTTTTCGGGAGCGGTTTGGATCAAATATCTTCTGTAATAAGATTATTTTAATACATCTGACACATCATGTTCTGTTTGGTGTTTTTGGCCATTTCATTTCGCCGGCTATGTCAACTATCTAATTAAAAGTCTAATGCGATGACAATTAATTCGCGATAATATAAATTCCTTTTCAAATAACACAATATAATCAATAATTTCAAATTTGTTTGTCAATTCTATAGATAACATTGAAATTCAAAAAGTAATCCAGCAATGATGTATGAAAATCCGTGTAGGCAGACCTCCAGTCTGAAAACGCGTCAGAAAATCCATATAACTGAAAAGTAACAGCGCAAGCGTTAGTCTAGCTTCAGGAAAAGCGCCGAAAAGTTTGGAAACACCATTCAAGTCCGACCAGCTGACGAGTATGGTATTTTGCGTTCTCTTCTTGTTGACTTTACTGTCAACGGGAAGTCTGCAGTTTCAGTTTAAGCATCACAATAACGAAGAATTACTGGAAGTATTGCAAGATGTGAATTCTAAATGTCCTAATATTAGCAGGATTTATACTTTAAGTGAAAATTCTGTCTTGGGAATACCTCTATATGTTATCGAGTTTTCTACTAAGCCAGGACATCATGAAGTTTGTAAGTTAAAGTTATTTACCTCTAATATAGAGTTATATTTTGATATCTACTAGATGAAGTCTGTCCATATGTTTATATTTGAGATATATTTTAATGATATAAGACTTCATTTATCGATTAGTCTTCAATGCTGTGCTAATTGCATCCAATAAAAAATGTTTCAACATACAGGGTGGCGAATAGCAACTGGCCGTATCTCAGAATATTTTAAAGTAGATGTTTTTATTTGAAAGAAATGCAAAAGCAGGTCGTTTTATATCCTCAATTGTCATATGTTATTCATCTGCCTTTTATTAATATAGCTAATAAAATTTAAGTAAAAAAACTACCAAGAATGACACTATATGGAAAGGGTAGTTTTATGGGAAATTTCACAATTTGACAGTTTATTGAATTTTAGCGTCTTTTACCGAGATAAAAATCTAATTTTATTAGTAATTTAATCCACTACAAAATATTATTTTAATTAAATCAATAATGAATTTAAAATGAAAACTACCCACTAAGCAAAATACATTTGCTGCAAATTTATTGCAAGCTTACAAATATAAATGCAAGTTTCCTTGTAAGTTCGTTAAATATTTATTGATAGCTTTTAGCAAATTTGAATCTGCCTCACTCTAAATTTTAAAAATTATACCTACTATTCCATACCGGATGGAAACTTACGAAATTAACTTATTGTTAACATACAATTAAAAACTTATTTAAAGTTTTAATTTAAATATTATCTAAGAATTTTCATTAACAAATTATCTGAAAATTTTTAAAGTCGCACTTTATTTACACTGTTAAATTTAAACTTCTATCAAACTTACCATTATAAATACGCTTTAAACTATCAGGATTTCACTGTTTCTATAGCAGGTGTTCCATTATATTTTGAACCTTTCTAAAACCATGTTACTTTTGAACTAGTTGAAATAACGAAATGCACTTTTCACCAATCTTCTTTTTATTTTTATAAGTTTTTCTCTGTATACATATCGATTTTGGCCACCATTTGGCTTAAACAGAAATTACATTCTGTATTTTCGGAGATAGGACAACTATTATTTCGATTTTTTTTTCTTAGTTCAATAGCCCACTGTTTCCCCTTTACATAATGTCATACTTTCATGATTGCTACAAACAGTGGCGGCTGGTGGTAATTTAAAATGGGTGTTCACTTATTTCAATAATTTTATCATTTGTAAGTTCAGTTCAAAAGTTTTTTCCAAAGCCAATATCGCTGTTTTTTTTTATTATTTGAGTTTATATTAAGTGTAGTTATTATTATCAACATCATACTGTTTTCAAGCACAACTATTATTAAATGAATATTTTAGTTAGTGTAATATTTGTTTTGTTTTTAATACATTGAAAACCATTTATAAACATTATTAGTTAGTAAACTGACTTTTCTTCATAATTTGAGATTATTTTTAAATATATGTAGAAAGCTTGACATTGATTTTTGTTTAAAAAATTTTATATGAAACTTTATCTACCATTTTTTAGTTTTTATTATAAGTTTAATCATTTTCACAATTTGTCACAGATGTCAAATAAAATATATATTTTTTTAAATACCTTTTATTGGCAAATAAAATAAGTACTAAAATGTTTTAAATGTTTATTTTATAAGATCAATCCCATCACAATACATAATATTACACAGATACAAACTAGACAAAAGATATATAATGCCTGGCATTCTAAATGATACTCTTCGCAATTTAACAGACCCCCTTAACCCCCATTTTCAACCAGATTGTTTTCTCACAATCAATAGGCCTCATCTCCTTATAGAGCTTGATTTTTTCCTAAAAATTTCATGTTGATATCGCTTTTCATTTTTGATTTTTTTTTTAATTTCAATCCCCCCCTTAAATCCCCCATATTTAATAAAAAAAAAATTTATAATTAAAGGGCTTCTTTTCCTTTTAAAGCTTGATGTTTGCTAAATATTTCATTTTTTGTTTTTCAGTTAGAATTTTTTTTTAAATATTTTATCTCCCCTTAACTCCCCAATATATTCATATGTTTTCAGTATCAGTATCATGCTTTTCGTTTTTAATTTAGGATTTTTTTAATGTCAACCCATCTTAACTCCCTATTTTAATCATATTTGTTAAAAATCAATAGCCTCTGTCCCCTTATAGAGCTTGATTTTTGCTTAAAATTTTAAATTGATATCAATTTTCGTTTTTGATTTATCGTGCAGACAAAAAACGTAACATCGGACAGACGGACAAAGTAAACTAATAATACTCTTCACAAAATAAACAGTTTAAAGAGGTCAACAATAATATTCAACTTCTTTTATTAAAGGATACTACAAATTTGAAATAGCAGCACATAATTGAACATTTACAGAAATCTGTGAAATAAAATTGTGAGATAGGTACACATCGTAAAATGTTACCACACTTAATTTTCCATATGATCCATTCTAAGTGTATTTCACAGCACATTCCAAAGTATTCTTGCTACTGTTCTACCCTCATTGCTAAAAAAATAAAAAATAATATATTTTAATAAATAACAGAATAATAGTAATTTTGTCTAAATAGGTAAATCAGCTTCAACTGTATTTTCAAATTATTGTTTAATTTTAGATAGTATATTAATTTTTTAATATATACTTATACGATTGATTACCCAAAATATGACTTGTTAAGTGCCTAATCAAAATTAAAATTTATGTTTGACACTTATTGCTCTTTTCGAGGCATACTTTATTACCAACTGTAAACTAATTTACCAACAGCCTTATTTTTATTTAATATCTGCAGTGATCTAAATTACCAATACATCTAATATTTTTAAAAATACTAAATTATACAAACAAGGCAATAAAAAAAAGTCAATAAAATAAAATATTTCAGGTTTTTATGCAACACAATCTAGACTAGAGGGTAAAACGATTGATAATTACAGGCAAACATAACTTTATATAAACTATTTAAATGTACATACCATTTCTTAGGTAAATTTTCTCATTATGAATGTATATTAAATTAACTGTTGGTCCATTTTTCCGATTCAAATTTTTAAAGTGAAAAAACATTTCTCTTTATCTTCATCAAACATTTATTGTATATTTCTATTTCCATAATGATGTCAAGTAGTTACCTTATCAGAATAATCAAATTTTTCTTTTTAGCGGGTTTTGTGGGAAACAAAAAATTTACAATTTTTTGCTTACATCTTACTTCATAGTATATACAGTTAAGTATAAAATAGACCATTTTGAAGTAGTCTTAGAATGATTTTAGACACTGAAACAAAATATAAAACAAATTAGATTAATAAAACTTCATTATAGTTAAATAAAACAACAACTTTAAAAATACTTTTATTTACCTGGCCTTAAAGAAGTTTTTCGGGAACAATCGTTGAATTGACACACATACTTTCAATTTATTAATGTCACAGTTCTTAATTAAACACATTTTTCTTTTAGCGGGTTTTGTGGGAAACAAAAAATTTATAAATTTTTGCTTAGTTCTTACTTCATAGTATTTACAGTTGGGTACAAAATAGACCATTTTGAAGTAGTCTTAGAATGGTTTGACACTGAAACAAAATATAAAACAAATTAGATTCGTAAAACTTCATTATAGTTGAATAAAACAACAACTTTAACACGTTGATGGCCACGCGTCGCATATATGTGACAAGCAGTTTTTTCCAGAAACTGATGTCACAAATGTGTGACAATGACCCTACAATGATTAAATGCAAAAAACTCCCAGGTGGTTCAGCGGCGACAAATGTGTTTTGGCGTCAGTTTCTGAGCGTGTCTGGCACACAAAAAAATACAAAAAATAGATAAAAAACACAAAATATATAATATTTCTGTCAAAAAGTTATGCCACCCAAAAAAACGAGGTTGGTTTCTAGCTTCGTCAAATTTCATAATAGCGGTAGTAAACGTGTTAAAAATACTTTTATTTACCTTGCCTTAAAGAAGTTTTTCGGGAACAATCGCTGAATTGACATACTATCAATTTATTAATGTCATAGTTCTTAATTAAACACATTTTTTTAAATGAGCACAAATAAAATAATTTTAGTTTTATTTAAAGCATTTCATAGTAGAGGAATGACGGAAGACAGAATGACAGTTTGATTTGGTACAGTGTTGCCAGAATATGTTTTTGTTATGTACCAGATTCCTTAAATGTATCAGATTTCAAATTTTATTTGCAGTGACATCTAATTCATTGAAGGGGAAAAAAGGGGGTCTTTATTGATAACAAACCCAAACAAGAAACATAATAGGGGAAAGGGGGTGAAGATGACGCACTTAAGAAAATACTATATTATTTTAGGCTGTAAGGTAAAAATGGAAGTTTAAATACAATGCATATATAAAGTAATCAATTGCTTCTGTCAATGTCCGGTTATTTTTGTTGTCTGACCAACCTAATACATTTTACAGGAAAAACAAAAAAAGTGCATTTGCGCCATCTTTTCCTATGCAGGAAAAGATGGCGCACCGTGGCGGATAAGATGATGCAAATAATAAAAGTCAAACATTGAACATATAATTGAACATTAAACATACAGTTAAACATAAAACATACAAACAAACAGGAACACATACGATTAAACATTAAAACATGACTTTAACTAAGACAAAAATCGCAAATATAGTTATCTAGACTGTCAGCACCTGTACATGCTTTGTGGGACCAAAGTCCACATCGGAACCATACTTCATTATGTTTGCCGAAGTCACAACATACTGTGCATATTTCCCCCTCACCACTAACATCATCTAGTTCATCATCATCACATATTTCTTTATCATCGTAGCTCTCTTCATCACTCTCGCTTTCTATAATAATCTTTTTAGTTCTTTTTTTGGTTTTCGTTAGAGTCTTTTCTTTTGTCTTCGGTTTGTCCTTTTGATTTTCTTTAGTTTTTGACGAGTTTGTCAAATTTCTCTTGGTTGCGTTTGCTTTGTTTATTTTTATTTTTTTTTATTATCTTTTTCTTCCAAAACTTCT